ATCTCGGGAACCACGGAGTCTAGGAGGCTGAAGTTTTAGGGTAATGACCCCCTGCCCATGCTCAACGTTGCCTATTCAAATTTTCTCGCGCTCTCGGTTACCACCTAACGGCCCCGTGAGATTTTTGACGGATAAACTATTAACTCGGGAATCACGGAAAGATATTCATCCTTCAAGATTTCGAATTCAGCTTTCATACGCAGGTGCGTGAAATTTTTAAATTAACTCGGGAATCACGGAAAGATATTCACCCTTCAAGGTTTCGAATTCAGCTTTCATACGCTGGTGCGTGAAATTTTTAACTGTTTTCCAATATTTGAACTATTTTTGCATAGACTAAGGTAAAAAGCAGTGAAAATCATTAACAGGCAATCGTTCGATTGGCTGAATTGCACAAAACGCATGATCGCACCGGCTAGTCTGGTGCGCGTTGCCATTTATTTATTTTATCCCCAGCAATGAAGCTTTGCATTCAGGGCGCATAGCAGTATTCTCGGTGAATGTTCTGCGCGATGAGCGGATATGCATTGTGGCTGAGCAAAAACCGGGCGTCACCGAGGAGGATTCTTTCAGTGTATCTTTTTTCCCCTTTTCGCAGTTTCCTATGCCTTCTGCCTGTTCTTGCTTTTAAAATAAATTAATACAGAGAACCACTTTAATACTGAGCTATTAAGATGACTTGTGCATGTTCCAGAATCGCTTCTCCCCCAGTTTGGCAAAGGCTGAAGTAACAGTGTTGGGCATTTCTCAGATTCACTCCCTTATAGACTTTGAGAGGTACGGTTTTTGGAATCTCTTTCCAGATCTGTTTTTTGCGGGGTTTATGTTGTAGCTGTGCTTCCGATGTGTATTTTGCGAGTGTTTCTTCATCATTAGCCCTGACTAAATGCTTTCCTTTCATGGTTGTTAGTTATAGAACATTTTCCTTTTCCTTCCTGTACCGTAAATCATGCCAAACTTCGGAAACAAGAAAGTGCGGGCGATAGATTCAGTCTTAGTCCAGTGGTTTAATTTTCTGCGATTCGTTGGGCTTCATTACAACCTCTGATTTGTCATTTTGTTCACTATTTACATATTCTTTAATGTCGTTAAAGTAAGTTAGTAAGCTTATCAGTGTAGCTCATAACATACGTGAATCCCTAAACATACTTTTTTAAATTCCACTTTTGTTACTGGTGTACGTTCATTTTCAGTGGATGAGTCGTGTGCTGCAGGCAATCGACAGTATACATCAAGTTGGAATTTATTGCCTAGCGCTTGTGCCTTCGAATCAGTTACCGAAGGTATTTTTCCGATAATTGCCACTGATTATCCTGAAACATTTTTACAGTTCTGAGTTTATCAGGTCACTTTATTTCCCACTTATTTTTGTTTAAGCATTTTCCACTGCTAGTCTTAAACCGAAATTTAATTAATTGACGAGCGCACAAATAAGTTAGTTTTGATCAGTTGGTCATCTTTTTTTATGCGTTTTCTGCAACTATGCAATGCAGAAAACGCATATTGACGAGGGTTTGTCTGTGTGTGTCCGTTTGTGCATCTGTCACGCTTTTTCATCTCAAGACCTACAAAAGCTATAGGGCTGAAACATTGTGAACTTAATCTACATACACGTACTGACCCCAATTCCGAAAACGGGTGCCATTACCTGTGTATTACCCACGT